GAAGGAAGGAAGGAAGGAAGGGAGGAGAGGAAAGGAAGAAGGGAGAGGAGGGAGGAAGGGAGGGAGGAAGGAAGGGAGGGAGGAAGGAAGGGAGGAGGAAGGGAGGAGGGAGGAGGAGGAGGAAAGGAAGAAGGGAGGAGGAGGGAGGCAGGGAGGAGGAAGGAAGGAAGGAAGGAAGGGAGGGAGGGAGGGAGCAGGAGGGAGGAAGGAAGGGAGGAGGAAGGAAGGAAGGGAGGAGGAGGAAGGAAGGAAGGAAGGAAGGAAGGAAGGAAGGAAGGAAGGAAGGAAGGAAGGAAGGAAGGAAGGGAGGAGGAGGAAGGGAGGGAGGAAGGGAGGGAGGAAGGAAGGAAGGGAGGGAGGGAGGGAGGGAGGGAGGAAGGAAGGAAGGGAGGGAGGGAGGGAGGGAGGGAGGAAGGAATTAGCATTTATATAGCTACTATATGCCAGAAATTATGCTAAGAGATTTACAAATATCTCACTTGAGTTTCATAATAACTCTGAGAGATAGGTGCTATTATTACCCTTTTTTTATAGTTGAGGAAACTGAGGCAAACAGAGATTAAGTAATTCACCCAAGATCACACAGCTAGTAGATGTCTAAGTAGTGTTCCTGAAGTACAAGTATATTGTCTTGGTTTTGAACTCAGAACTTTCTAATTCAAAGTCCAGAACTCTAACTAGTTTTCTGCCTAGCTGCCCCTATTGATGGTGTTGTGTTTGTAGGGGAAGTTCAATATTAACAAAATCACAGATCCTTCAAATAGTGTCATCAATGTCACCATCATCACCATTATCTAATGATGCTTATATAAACATTCTTTAATGATGATGGTGGTGGTGGGGATGAATAAACAACTTAGAATAGAATGTCCATGATGTACATTGTAAATCTATATGCACAAAAGTGAAGAATATAAGGAAAAACCTTCTTAGGCTTTTTCATAAAATATGGATATGCCCCATATTTCATTAACACTTCCTCTACCCCACCTCCATTACCCCATAATCAAAGCCCTCTACACAGGGCTAAGCTGGCAGAGGAGGTTCTGTTTCTAGGCATTCTATTATCACTAATTCTTCAAATCAGGGAGAAGATGAGAAAGAGAGAGAAAGACAGAGACAGAGACAGAAAGAGACACAGAGAGAGAGAGAGAGAGAGAGAGAGAGAGAATGATGAACTTTCATGACTGATATGTATGTAGTGTTTTTTCTGTGTGTGGGTCAACATAATGGCAAACATCAGCTATCTTGAACCACATTATATAGAAATATTGGAAAGTACCATACATGGACAATGATTTTAGTTGTAGTTCTGAGTCTGTGCAATTTTCCTCTTTGCTTGTATCTGTACCAAGGGCCTGTCAACTCATGAATGGACACGTTTTCTGGACAAGGTGAACAGGCTCCATCAGAGTGCAGTACTGTTATGGCAGGTAAGAGCTTCCATTCACATTAATGGAAGCTACCCATGGATATGCTCTGTGCTTTGGCGGGAGAACAGATGTTAAATAACTGCAGTAGAAAGGAGTGTGTTGCATAATATGGCTGAGCTATTTTTGAACTTCAAAAATTGCTGACTGCTTTTTTCAAAGTGCTTTCTGTAAAACCCAGAATATTCAACATAAAGAACTTCTTCCCCTTCCCAATCTCCTCATCATCTGCATTTCTCCCCCTCCCCCCTTTGCTATTGTGAAAACTCCAGGAATATGAACCAGACCATGGTGACTTCATCTCTAGGTCTTTCCAGGGAGAATTTTAGCTTCCATTTTCATCTCTGAGCAGGACAAGACACTGTATCCAAATTCCATGAGAATACAAGAAATTATATTGCCCCCCAAAGTCCAGGTAACCCACCAATGGACATCTTGTGAAAAGGCATGGCTTCCCCTCTTACCCCAATGTCACCTCCAGAGACCAGAATCATTTCCCTAAAACATGACAGCTTCCTTTCATAGTCTATCCCAGAATTACTTTGCTATTAGGTATGAGAAGTAGCATGGCATAGTAGGCAGAGAACTAGTCTGGGAGTCAGGTTGCCCTGGGTTCAAATCCTATCTCAAATGCTTATTAGCTATGAGGCCCTGGATAAGTCATTTAAACCCTCAAAAACTCCATTTCCACATCTGTAAAATATAGATACTAAGAATGCTCACCTCATATGGTTTCTATGAGGAACAAATAAAATGTTCTATGAACTTGGAAAGGCTTAAAGTGATCATATATATGAGCAAAAATTAGCATTCTATCAGTGAGTCCCAAAATTTACTCCTTGAGATGAAGTTAAAGTTTCTTTTTTTATTTTTTTAAATGTGCCTCTTTCAGACTTTGAGGCATACCCTCTACTCCTAACATACTAGAATCCAGCTAGATTAAGTCTCTGTTCACTCTTTCTGTGTTTCCTTCGTACGCTTATCAACTTTGATCATAATGTCTCTGATTCTCCAGACTAAGGAGTGCTAATTATCTTGGGCTATCACCAAATTGCAGCATTCTTCAGTCCTGACCCCAACTCCATCCCCTTGGCCTTTTAACATCTTTCCCTGGAACTTATTCAACTTGAAGTCAAGAGGGAGGAAGCATGGGTTCCATCCTTTGTTGGACAGAGCAAAGAACCATCTTCATGCCCAGATACAATGTACCACCTGCAACTGAGCAGCCCAAGAGAGAGGGTCACCTGGCTACCAACCAACTGCATTTCCTGGGTGGGTACCAGTTATCTCCAGACTGAGTGATATTTCAATAAATGCCAACTTAGTAGACTCGGTACTGGTGCAGAGAGATGATTTACAACATTTGATATATTGCTTCTGTGGGACTGAAATGCCACTTATAAAATTACTGCATTCAAAAGCAGAACCTCTGGAAATAATATAGCCAGATTTCATACCAGCAGGTATTTTTCAGACAAGGAGCCAAGGGGTGGTAATTGTGAAGAAATCTGAATAGTGAGCCATTCATCACTCACTGCTTCCTTTCCCCCCATAAAAATTATATTTCCATTGCTTGCAAATTGACTAATGTTTCTATCAAAATTGCAAATTCCCAAATATTCCAGCTGTAAGGCAAGTCACATTATCAGGAGAGAGAACTCATTAGTCCAGCTTCTCTTTGGGTCTGGCTAGATGTAGAAACAGTGCTTCCACATGGGTATCTGTGTCAGGCCTTAATTCATCTGAGCATACTTCCTGAGAATTTGGAAATGATTCAGAATATAGAAAATGACATTTGGAAACAAGATCTTTAAGGAGGTCACCATGAAAAGAAAGGGAAAAAAATGGCAGTGAAAATTTTAAAATGTATGACTTCATTTTCAGCCTGTGATTTCAAGCATGAAGGAGTATAATTCCCCCTGCCAACTCTGATATTAAATAAGTCCATTAGTGGGGCAGCTAGGTGGTGCAGTGGAAAGAGCACTGGCCTTGGATACAGGAGGACCTGAGTTCAAATCCGGCCTCAGACATGTAACACTTACTAGCTGTGTGACCCTGGGCAAGTCACTTAGCCCCATTTCCTAGTCCCCCCAAAAATAAGTCCATTAGGTAATATCACTGAAGGGTAACAGGTTTAAAACTCAATGAAAGTTTGAGGATGAGCTTATGATAACATCTGCAGTCTCCAAATGACAATGACTATTGCGCTCCCTTGAACACAATGTCTCTGGATAAAAGGAACAAGGGGAATCTCAGAGTTTTCTCCATTAAGGGTGATCAGTTTTAGCATCTCTAAACATTGCTCATTGACTGAGGTTCGTGGGATCATTGGATAATAAAGAGGTGGAAAAGACCATAGAGGCCATCAACTCTAACTCCCTCATTTTAGAGATGAGCAATTGAGACACAAGATGGGTAAGGGGGTCATATAACAAACATCTGAGGCAATATTTTATCCCTGGTGATCCTGACCCCAACTCCAGTCCAACCACAAATATTGGTTTAAATCTTTGAACAGATATAGCCATATGAAAGGGGATGACTGGGGTAAATCCTAACCAGGTACTGTTAAATATTTTGAATCAGATCTGTGTGTCATAACAAAAAAAGAAGTGACTCTAAACCATGTCAGAGGACCTGGGTTCAAATCTCACCACTAGCAATGATCTGTGTGACCTTAGGCAAATTTCTTAACTTTTGTAGGCCTCAGTTTCATCATCTGTAAAATGAGGGGGTTGGAATAGATGGCCCCTAAGGTTCCTATCTGGGTTCAAGCTGAAGTTCCACTACTTATTAGTTGGGTTATCTTAGGTAAGCCATTTAACCCCTTTGCCTCAGTTTCCTTATTTGTAATATGGATCTAACAATCTTGGCACTAGATCACAGGTACAGGATAAGGCAATGTGATATAGTCAGTTAAGCATAACACCTGAAATCAGGAGGATCTGGGTTAAGACTCTACCTCTGAAACTTGCTATGTGACTATGGGCTAGTCACTTACCTTCTCCGAGATTATTTCCACATCTATAAAATGGGAATAATAACAGCAGTAGCATTTTTGTACTGTGAGGCTCAGATGATAGAATTGTGTAAAATATTTTGTAATCTTTACAGTGGTTCACAAATGTCAATGATTATCAAATGAGATAATTTATATAAAATGTACTGTCCTTGTAGAGGGCTACATAAATATGAGTCATTACCATTAATGGTATGGTCAGAAGCAACCTGACTACCCTCCAATTAAAGATCTGTGTTCCAATCCTGCCTTTGACATATACTAGTAGCATAACCCTGGGCAAGTCACTTGAACATGTTTCTAAGAGTAAACGCTAGAGATATTTTACCACTCTGCAATGATTAAGGTAATTTGCTCTGTAGAAATTCCTGAAGTAGATTAAAAATTGCATCTAAATCACTTCTCTCCCTACCTACCCTCTCCCACCTCCCCCAAAAAAGGGTATGCCAAAAAGCATTCTACTGCTTAGAATTAACCTAAGGAGGGAAAAACTCATATTCTAAACCAAACCCCATCAATCCATATGTGGAAATAAAAAGACACCCTCTTACTTGTGTAGGGTATGCAGTGGGAGCTCAGGTTTCTCTATCTGTCCATAGCAGCTGGTCTTGGCTTCAGGAATGAATGAATACTTTTCCAACATGGATGAGGCAGCAGTGGTGATAATCCCTAGCCCATCTCTTACTCTCTCCTCCAAACTGTAGTCCCAGTCATCATAGGAGACTGAAATGAGGCCTGAAGGAAACTCTTTGGGGATGAGCTCTGTATTGCCAGAAACCAGATTTGGAACAATCCAGAAGAAATCATAGCCCGTCAGGCCCAGGGAGCGGGCCTCACTCAGAATCAGAACGGCTTCATCCTTAGAGCAGTAAAGCAGGATGACAGAGGAATGGATTTTCTTTAGCTGGATTTGTGTCTTGGCATCCCCAAAGGAAGTATCCAGGGTTATCACATTCTGCATGTCCCAGCCAACAAAGCTGTTGTCTACCGTGGTCTTGATGAAGCTTATGAAGTCCCGGTAGCCAGGAAAAGTGGTAGTCACCACAGAGAAGACATGCCAGTCGTAATCCTGCATGATCTTCATCATAATAGTGGCTTGCTGCTGGATGGAAGCTCCAAACTGGAAGAAGGTAGACATCGGATCCTATAATAGGGGGACAAAACACCAAAATATAACTTATGGAGAAATAGAAGCCTTGTGAAATAAAGAAACAAACAACTGGAAATGAAGTGGCTGCCCATTAATTGGGAAATGACTGAGCCAATTGTGGCATTCGAATGTAATAATTTGTGTTTTGTTCTACCAGAAGTTGAAAATATGAAAAATTCAGAGAAATACTGAAAGATTTATACATACTTGGACTTGGAGTCATGAGAACTTTGTTTCACATCTCACCTGAGTCATTTTTAGTTGTGTGATCTTGGCAAGTCACCTAACTGTTCTTTGCCTCAGTTTCCTATGAACTGAAGCAGTCTGAAGAAAGTAGAATGGGGCGGGGAAACCAAGATAATAATAATAACAATAATAGCTAACTTTTCAATAGCACTTTAATGTTAGCCAACTGCTTTACATATATTTTATGTATGTATGTGTGTGTGTATATATGTATGTATATATATGTGTGTGTATACATACATACATACATACATATATATATATATATATATATATATATATATATATATATATATATATATATACACACACATACATACATATACTTACAACAACTCTCTGAAGCAGGTGCTATTATTCCCTTTCTACAGATGAAGCAACAAGCTGAGAAAAGTTTAAGTAAGCTAATGAGGGTTATACAGCTATTATCTGAGGCAGGATTTGAACTCAATTCTTCCTGACTCCAAGTCTAGTGTTCTATCCACTGTGCTACAGGACTGCCACCAAATACATTGCAATGAGCAAACTTGATTTTGGAAATTTGATTGTGAAAAATGAAGAGTGTGCTATCTCTGGAGTCAGAACCTGAGTTCAAACCCTACTTTAGATATTTACTAACTCTGTGACATTAGACAAGTCACTTGAACTCCCTTGGCTGCCATATTGTCATCTGTAAAGTGAAGTGTTGGGACTGGTGGCCTCTGAAGTCCCTTCAGCAGCTAGGTGGCTTAATGGATAGAGTGTTGGGCCTGGAGTTAGAAAGATTCATCTTCCTGGGTTCAAATCTAGCCTCAGACACTTACTAGCTGATCCTGGGCAAGTCACTTAACTCTGCCTTAGTTTCCTCATCTATAAAATGGAGCTGGAGAAGGAATATCTTTGCCAAGAAAACTCCAAATAGGGTCACAGAGTCAGATGCAACTGAACAACAACAAATTCCCTTCCATCTCTTGATCCCCATGTTTCTATGTTCCAACGACCTCTCAGAAGAAAGACTGGATACCAGTGTGGACTGTGATATATACTGTCAGACATGCTGTTGCATCTGTAGGTTTTGATGAACTGTGTATTTGGGGGTTTTTTTGGGGGGGGTTGGTTTTTTGCTTTGGGGTTTTTTGTTTTGTTTTGTTTTGTTTTGTTTTGTTTTTGTAATGAGAAAAATTCAATGATGGGATGGCCTAAAGCAGAAGTTCTTAATCTGAGACTGGAACCCTGTTTTGTTTTTTAGTGTTTTGATAAATATATTTCATCATAAATGGTTTTTTTTAATAATCTCATACCTTAAATTTTTTATGTTTTTTTTTAGGTAATTGGGGTTAAGTGACTTGTCCAGGGTGACACAGCTAGTAAGTGTCAAATATTTGGTCTGAGACCAGATTTGAACGCAGGTCCTCCTGACTCCAAGGCTGGTGCTCTATCCACTGTGTCACCTAGCTGCCCCAATATTTCATGCTCTTAAAAACATAATTCTGAGAAGGGGTCTATAGGTTTTACCAGACTGCCAAAGCGATCTGTGATACACTGAAAAAAAATAGTTTAGAACCACTGGTTTAAAAGGAAATAATTGGCACAAAATAAACAAGCAAAAGTAAATGATTATACAATCACATGGTGATATGGGAGCCAGCCAGAGGTGGGGCTGGCAATAGATCACCAGATGGCTTCTTAAGATCCTTTCCCAGCTTATAAGTTCTATGAAGAATTTTATTTAAACGTCTAAAGTTTCTTGAAGTCAAGGAATAGTGTTCTATTGCTTTTATATCTCCTTCAAAATGACTGGCCAGTGTTTATCCACATTGCTTACCCATTATCATGATGTTCAGTCAGATGCCAGCTGAACAGAAGGCCTGGCTTGAGGTTGAGCAAAATGTCATATGGAAAAGGTTGGGTTTTCCTTTTCTGAGAGCTGTGGACTTTGTTGGATGTCCATAAGGCCATGCTTTCCTCTCCATCCTACACTTACCATGCCTAGTTTACACAACTGTGAGGATCTAAATTAGGAGCACTACACGCAAAGTTCCTGCATGTGTTGGGTCCCATTTAGTTATTATTTTATTTTTTATTTTTATTTTTTAGTTATTATTATACATTTTGTGGGTCTCCTCGATGCCATGTTCATTAAGTGCAGTGGATTTATCTGAATGAGCAACAAGCCACATCTACATGATGTATTACTACTGTCTTCCTTATTTATTGCCTGGATCTGTGGTTTTATTAATGTAGGGCAGTGGAGTCAAACTCAAATAGAAATAGGGGCCACTAACCCATACATAGGGATACCTGTGGGCCACGTATTCTTATAAAACTGAACGTGCTCTTTTTTGATCTATCAACACATTAAAATCAAATGGGAATTACATTTTAATCCTGTTTAGACACGCTTGGGAGTGCTTACGAGTTGCAAATGACCCCCACGTATTTGACACCTCTGGTTAGGCTCAAAATTTCTCAATATAAACATTAGCCTAAACAAATCTCCAATGAAGGGCTAGAAAATCCCTGTGACTATAAAGTGACATTATTAGACAGAGTCATGAATGGTTGGGCCCATCCAATCTTCCTTCTCTCCACCCCACCTCAAGAAAGGCAATTAAAGAAATCCCAGGAACTTACTAGTATTATTTACAAAAGCAACTTAAAACTTGTATTATTGACAAGAGGAAGAGAGAGGGGCTGCCTCCTAGGAAGAAGTCATTGAATTAAGAGGATTGGATGTATTGATCACTAGGGTCTCTACCAGCTCTAAAATACTGTGACACAATAGAGCTTGTACCAGGCAAAGGAAGGAACTCCGTACAGTGGCTAGTTAAGTATATACAGAAGGCTCTTTTTCTATGTCCCCAAAATTTGCTAACAGAAAACTCCACAAGAAAAAACCAAATTCTGGAAGGAAAACCCCAAAATGATCCTTATGGCATTGGCTCAAATAGACTGAATTTAAGATGCAGCAAGCTCATGGAGCTAATACACATGAACACACACAAATGAATTTGAGCATCTGCTTTCATCTATGAATACATCCCCAAAGGAGATTCCAGCTCCTGCAAACTCAGCCTTGACTCATTAATTTCCAATCAATAATCAATCAACAAGCATTTATTAAGCATCTCCTATGTGTCAAGTACTGAAAATTGTCAAAGGGGAGCTTTGTTCCCAGGTGTCTCTGACTCTAAAATCATCTCTGTATCTTCTACACCAGTGGTTGCAAATTCAAATAGAAACAGAGGCACCACATGCTAACTTAGTTTTTAAATGCAATGTTATCTCTATTTCACTGTATTTTGTTCATTTTGTGAAATATTTCCCAACTGTACTTTAATGTGGCTTGGGAGTATTGTCCATGTGGCGTGTTGGATACTGTCCCATAATGCACTGCCCCTTTCAGTGAAATCTTTAACTTTCAAGTTACAGATCAGGGGTAGATCCACATTCATAGAGTGTTTCCTTGCTGGAAGTTCTGGATACCAATGAAATCAAAAGGTTGTTCCAAATTTTTAAAAAATATACCAGATTCTGTGCTAAATACTGCAGATATAAAGACAAAAAAAGAAATAGCCCTTACCCTGAAGTAGCTTACATTCTATTGACATGTATAAATAAATACAAGGCATCTAGACAATAAGCATGAGGTTATTTCAGGAAGGGAAGCACTAGGAGGTGGGGACGTGGTACAGGAAAAGACAAACCAAGGAGGTGGTACTCTGAATCTAATGCACATTCAAAGAGCGACCACAAAACTGACATTTCTCAAAGCAATGATGGGTGGATCCAGATGGCATAGGGCCATCTGTGGAGGGGCTTTTTATCTTTGCTCTCTCCTTAACCCAATTTCTCTCCAAGGTGGAGAGCCTTCTCCCTTTTTCCTTTTTTTTTTCTCACATCTCTAAGGTTCTTCCTGGATTTCCAGTTAGGACCCCCTTCTCCTCCTCCCATTTAGTTCAAGTCCCTCCCACAGGTGATAGCAATCTCCTTTGTTAGACAAAAGAAGTAGTGTACATTCTTCCATTCTACAGCTTCCTCTTCTTCCCTACTTTTCATCTCTCATCAGTCATATAGATGCCTTCTGCCACTCTCATTCTTCACCCATTTCATATGAAGAGGTGGCCTTTCAACTTGTATGAGTGATCCCATTGCATCTCATCTTCTCCAGAAAATTGTCCTATCATCTCTCTAGATTCACTAATTTTCAGTTTTCCCCTGTCTACTGGCTGCTTCCCCACTGCCTAAAAATGTGCCTGTGTTTCACCTATCTTTGCAAAAGCTCATTTGATCCATTCATCCTCACTAACTACTGCCCTATATCTCTCCTCCCTTTTGTGGCTAAACTTCTTGAGGCCATCTACAACAGATGGCTCTACTCTTTCCTCTCAGTCTCTTAACTCTCTAGTCTAACTTCTGATCTTATCACTCCACTGAAACTGTTGTCTCCAAAATTACTTAAATCTCTTAATTGCCACATCCAATGGTCTTTTCTCAGTCTTTATCCTTAGTCCCCAGGATAATCTCTTCTTTCTATGTTTTCATGGCACTGCTCTCATACCTATACGTCTCCTACTACCTGCCTCTCCTCCTACCTCTCTGACCACTCCTCTTTTATCCTTTGCTGGATCTGCATCATGTCACACTCACTAGTCATGCATGTCACCCAAAGATCTGTCCTTCACCCTCTTCTCTTCTCCCTCAATACTTCTTCATTTGGTGATCTCATCAGCTCACATGGTTTCAATGGTCATCTCTGTGCAGATCCA